GTGACCCGCGACGGGCGACATATGTATGTGCTCGCGCGTACCATACCTACGTATCGCGTAGGAATGAGTTGGAAAATGTAACTGTATCCTCGGTTCCCCTGCTTACGCGACGTTATTATTCATGAATTGTCATAAGCCGGATTCTCCGTGGCCGAGAGTCGCCGATCGGCGATCTCTTCGTCCGACATAGCGGCTATGAGCCGCTACCCGCTTAATTCTGCTTGCGCATAATTTCTACTTTTTCCATATCATTACGCGTGTCTCTTCTCTGTTCTCTTATCTTTCTGTGCGGTAACAAACAACGCTATAAAAACAAATTATACCTACGTATATAAATATTTAAAGCAGAATTTTCATATTTCCGTCGTTAATTAAAGTTTATAGTCGCCATCTTCTCTTTGATACATACACTGTATATAATTACTTTATCTTGCGCTTTCAATTTATCTGATTTATTCCCACTTATCCCGTGCGTGCAGCAGGAACTCGTTTTAGAGATTATTGAATTAAAAAAAACGCATTATATCGCGCGCGCGTACACACATTCGAGCGCTCCTCGAGCGCTGAATAGCGTCCCGCCTTTCTAGAGCGCGCCAAGGGTAATCAAGATCACAGCCGTCAGTCACCGAGTGATCCGTGCATAGAAAGCAATCATCGTCGATACGACGTCGCGATCATGCGTGAGAAACGCGGAGATTACATTTGCATATCTGATTGAATATTCGCGGCAGCGGTGAGGTGTCGTAACAAATGTTTTTACGCTCAAGGACGTTCTCCGAAGTTGCAGCCGATGACACGAGTTCATTAGCTCCAAGAGAAGTAACGCGACATCCGCGTAACTCGAATATGCAATGCTCGGGCATACGCAATGTGCACACAATGGCGCATAGTTGCGATGAAAGTGGCTCGCATAATCCGACCCGCTACCGGGCGGGAATCCGACTTAAGCGCCTCGTTAGCCCGATTAAGGAACGCGAGATATGCTTGTTTTAGCAAAAGAAGAACCACATTACCACACTGCGCGCGCATGTGTGTGCGGGGCTATTATATTTTCCACGCTCGGTGCAGATTCTCCCTCTTTATAAAAGTAAACAGGACGAGCCGCTAAAGTGTTAATTACCGCACCTTATAATCTCCGTGCTATAATGTTTACAAACCCCGCTTCATCTTCATAGTCATTTAAAGTTTAAAAAAACTTCTTGAAAATACAAAATTCTTACGATTTTGTATTCTGCTCAAATTATTATGTGCATAAGCGCCGTTGCCGTATTTCGAGTTTTTTGCTCTTTATTGCCTTTTTATGTAAAATTTGTTTTATCGCGTATACACAGTTTTACGAACATTTTACATCCTCTTCGGGGATTATAACTCCCGTTAGCATTTGTTTCAGACGCAATTTGCATTGTTGTCGGTTTTAAATATCAATTATAACGCGCTTCGCATGCGCGCGGTTGTGTGTGTGTCGAAGTACGTGAGATGGTTTCGTCGATAACGCTCGATTAATGAGGATAGTTTTTATACTATCGCATCGAATATCGCACGGTATATAACGCAGAATTTCTGACATTAAAATAGCAAGATCCTCTGTTTCTCGTGGAATCGCGTCACGCCTGTCAACGCGAGATCGGTTCAAGGGTGAGAGACTGGAGGGATCTCCCGTGCGCTGGTTTTTCTCGAGTATAGAGCTCTCGCGTGAGAGCAAATTAACGAGCCGTGGACATTGCGCGGCGAGAGAGCCACAGAAAGTCAGGTATCCATGAAGAAAAATGCGTCCAAGACACAGATTATAAACGGCGCACCAATCGCTCGTCTCCCAACGACACACTAAGCAATTGATTATCATAACAACGTATATATTGACATGCGTTTCATGAACTCCTTTACTTACCCGCTTATCCGTTGGAACCAGAATTTACGGCGCGATGCGCGGTTAACGGCTATTTAAAATTAATTAATCGTGTCGGGGACGAAAACTTATTATACAACTCGCGTACCAGTTGCGCCGCGCTCACGTTTATACGAAAAAGCATAAATTTCTCCGAACGGTGAGCATGATCTATCAGTCCGCGTAAGCGAATACCATTTATTACATGCCGCCGTTGCTGCGCTATTTTCGTGTAATTATAACGACCAGGTCATTTTTTATTCTCTAATTAGCCACTTTTAATCCATGCTTTATTAATACATATGAAGAGTAATTGCTACTTTTGCATGAAAGAGAGTAATAATTTCTCATAGATCTTCGACATTCTTGAACGAGCACACACGTCGCTCATTAATTTTGATTAAAATTACAAATTTTAAGAAATTGTATCGACAAGCTCTTTTTTCCAGTTATTTGAACATTTCATGTTGTAACGAAGCAGATACAACGCGATGATTAAAATGGATTACCAGTATCGCAGAGAGTATGTATATGCGATCACTCGATTCGATCTGGCGATTATTTCTCACGAGCCTTGATGATACTCGGTGCAGACCGGCGCCGATCAGTGTTTGCGCATGATGTTAATTAATGGTGACATACGGCGATTTCTCTCTCTTTCTCTCTCTCTCTCTCTCTCTCCTCTTTCTCTTTCTCTCTTTCTCTTTGAAGGGAGAGCATCGCGGATCACGTGTCAAAGCGATGTGCGGACTGCGCCCAAGCAATTAATGAAATCCTGTCAGCACGTGCGTAAACGCATTTGCGACACGTGCGAGAATTCACTGCGGCTCTCCATTTGGAGTGCATGAAAGTCTTTAAACGAAAGTCTTTTATCGTATTGATTTTGAGAATATTGAAGAACTAAATTTGTTTTTGTTCTTTTACATATATCAACGTTATTCTCTTTTAGCTGGTTTTAGAGAAAAAAGATTTTTCAGATGGAAATTTTTAATAATCTGATAAATAAATTTTGTATGCCAAACTTATTTTGCATTTATAATTCTTTTTATATATGTAAATAAATAAATGCAACATATAATTATTATAATTATTATTAATATGTGTAAAACTTATTTTCACTCTGAATTTATCTAATAATAAAATCGAGAGATACGATCGCAAATCTCACGATTTCATAAAACAACACATTTTTAAACACATTTTTCGTCTGGAAGTGTAGTCGGTTAAAATATGATACACACATTTATAAATATCTTGATTACGTTGTTGTTTTCATTTCCATCACGAACGAATTTCGTTATTATTTCGCGGAGAAATTTAATATCGCACGAGACCGCAGATAAATTCTCATAAAGAAGAGAGCTCGGCTCACAGTAAAGTATTTTTTTCGTGCCTGATAAGTAGCATGAATAAGCATCGGCAGCACAGCTTCTCCCTTTGACACGTGTGGTTAACCAAGAAGAAAATTCGAGAAGATAGGTGACGGTCCAATAATGACGGCCAACACAAATGTGCGCGCCTCCCGAAGTGAAACTCAACACCGGACGTAAACCCGCAAACGGAAAATGACGTCCGCGGAGTCTTTATTTGATAATATTTGCGCAAAAGTTAACTACCTCCATTAATGCGGGACGCTTTCTTCAGTGCAGTGTTGAAGTCTCTTGATATAGCACACATGCGTGTTCGAGGAAAAACGTGTCTCATTTACAAAAACCATTTGCATGATTTAAATGTAATCAAGAGGTAAAAGACAGCAGGTAAAATACTGTTTTACTGTCTTATGCTATTTAACAAGAAAAAAATTGCAAACTATAATTCTTAAAGACAGTAAAGGAGTAATTCACAATTTTTTGTATGTTACGTCGTAATCATAATATGTATGTAGCGCGATTGCAAGTCCCAGTAAAAGGAGTGCCGGTGTTTGCGCACTTTGTAAAAACACCCACATTTTCTAAGAACACACGTCAAACGAGCGATACTTTCGCACGATTCCCCGCCTTGTCCGCATACAACGCCTTCCCGCGTGGACCCCTCCCGGTCTAGTATCAATTTTCGATAATTCCCAATAATCCTCAGACATATGCGTGCCACGATATCGCGGCGGTCGTAACCGGTCCGCGCGATCCTGGTTTCCGAAAGGAAAAGGCATTCCAGATTCGCGAGATCGCCGGTTCTCCGGATTGGAGGACGTCGGAGCGTCAATAACGCCGCACGCACACTATAAAAGAGACATGAAACCGGCGCAGCGTGGCGGTGGCGAGAGATCCGAACACCGGTGAGAGTTTAGACGTGAGGTTCGAGTGGAATGGAATGGAATGGAAGTTTGCGCGCGCGCGCGCGTGTGTATGTCGCGTGTATACACGCGGCCGTCGCGACGTTGTGTACCCATCGGTGAGCGCACGTTCACGTGCGCACGGATGTTGTACGCGTCGCGCCGTATCGCGCGCACCGCGCCGGCTGTATGGGATTAGGTGGCGGCGCAGTAGGCCAACGGCGCTCGACGCTTGTGCGTCTCTTTTTCCGCAGCGTGTGTCCGACCTACGCTAAGCCCGAGCCGAGTGATTTCAATTAGAGAAAAAATTGAGAAAAAAATTCTTTTTCGAAAAATTTCACCGATGCGCGCGTGAAGAATTTCGGCGGAAAAAGGATTCATTCGAGGAATATCGTCTGGATCGGTCAAATCCGAAGAGTTGATTGGAATTAAAAAAAAAAATCCTAGTAATAATTCGAAGTGTGAGACGTTATTTAAAAAAGTTTTTATGAGTGCGACGATCAACATCGTTCTCTGTGAAAATCGCATTTGTACAACCAAAGAGGTTTATTCCGGCGAATTTTAACAATCTTCGTTTCCCATCCCGACAGGATTAGCCCGAAAGTGGCCTTTACTTGTCGGACGCGCGCTTCAACAGCGTGTCACTTGTGTTACGTGGTGATTTGCGCGACGACGTTGTGAGAGATCTAACGAGCACTAATTACGGTAATACAATTACACGTGACGCAGCAGCACGCGCGCCCGTCTCCCTCGATCTCTTTCTCTCGCGCGCGCACGCCGCGCGATACTCGCTCTCGAAGATCGATCGCGTGACGCGCGCGCACGTTGGGCGCCCGCCAGCTTTCGACAGCAAATTGCTCACACAGCGAAGCAAACTTGTTATTATAAATTTGAAGAATGTCTGTTTACGCGCTGTTCACATATACACATTCTGTCTCTTCGTTAAGCCTTGCGAAGAAGAATTCTAGGCTGAACAATGAACTTCAAGCGAGAAACGCGCGCCGTGTGAAATTTGATTAGGCAAGTTTTTCATACGGCGAACGAAGCTGCGCGGATTGCGACACGCACGGATTTCAAATCACTTGAATTCCCGGGAGGAATTAGCGAGAGGTATTTCGGTTTTATCGCAAACAACCTCGATGATGAACGGTTTGTCTGTTAATTTTGCAAAGAGCCGAGGATTATTATCTTATGATTTACGTATGAAAGCGTCTGTGTTTCTTCATTCCGGTAGCGCATAGCCCGACGTGGCGCGAATGCCAAAGGATTTGCGTTGAACTGTATGGAGATACTTCGTCTTTTTTTTTTTTTTCACCGTCAGACGTGATCGCGAATATGAATACCGGGCGTCAGTAAATTTGTTTGAAACCTGGATTTGTAAAAACATCAGCAAAAAGACGAGATTTTTATTTTGAAGAAAACGATCACAGATATATTGCAAATAATCGATACATATATTCGATCCGATCGCTTCCAATTATAGCGTTGATTTATTCGCGATTGTTTTGGAACTTTGCGATCAGATATTAAAAAACGGTAAAAGTGAAACTTGACACGAGCTAGCGTATTTGCCGAAGAGAAATAAAGCATGCGAAAGATAAAATACATAATTGCTGCGTTTACAAGAACTAATTACAATTTACATACGACCTCGAACGCTTGAGTTATTCTGTGCGTCGATCCACCCAAAGTGAGACGACTCTTTGCTCTGTAACAGAAATGACATTGAAAGGTGTGCTTCCCTCTCGACTAATTACACGGAAGATTATTCAAACGTTCGACCGGGAGACGTCACGTGGAGACGTTAATTAACACAGCCATCTTCACAGTAGCAATCGCCGTTCGAAACTTGAAAGAAAGATCGAGGAAAAGCTCAGAGAGCCGAGTTTCCCGAAAGTTTGTTATTAATTAATTTATTTTCACAAAAGTCGCGAAAGTTGACGAAAGTTGACAATTTTCCCTTTAAAATTGCGAGATCACGCAATCCACTTGTCCGCTTGGGAAACAGATGAAATAACATGAGAGATCCCGAAAGACTCCTGGTGATTTTCCCGATGAAAGACGGGAAACCGGCGCGTCTTGTTTTGTGGTAAAAGCGTCGCGTAGTATCGCGGCGATGACGCGCGACGACGCCTAGTTATTTCGGATGTATATCAGCGAGGAAGATAGTGGGGACGACGGCGGCTGCCGTCTGATCTCCGTACGTCAGTGCGTCGACGTCGTTGGTGCGCGCGAGACGTCGTCGCGATTGGGACGAGTCGGCAACGACGTTGACGTGACAGGCACGCCGGAGAGGCACGTTACGGGCATCCTGAAGAAAGTTAGCTGCTCCGAATTGCCGGAAAAGAAATCCCGAGAGTTTCGTAAGAATCAGTCCTGGAAGGGTCCCTCGCGGATCGTTCATGACACGCATACGTTTAAAATATCTCGTAGAAGCGCGAGTTTCATTCTGAGCCGAGATATCGATAGATCGACGCTGACGATATCGACAAACGGATGCGCAAACACCGTAGAGGAAGACGGACACACGACGGTGGTAAATCCGCAGTATTGCGACACGTTGACGCGATCGATCCAGGGATCGGTTAGGATCGAGGCGCGAGGACGCGTCTTGCGCAGAAGCGTCTCCGCGCCCGGAACCGGCGAGCAGACGAACGATTCTTCGAGGACCAAAGAGCGAGGAAACCAAAGCAGTTCAGTAAAGGACGAGGAAATACAAGAGGATACCAAAGAACACGCACGCGTCAAGGACTCCGCTTTGAGGCGGAGTGCAACTTCGCCGACGAGTCACGACGCGATTTCTGACAACGTTCAGACAAACAGATATCGCACGAGGACCGAATCGCGCTCGAACAAGTCGCAGGAATTTCCAACAAAGACAGAACAACTGATCGCCAGGCGTGCGAGAGCCTCGTCTTTTGTGATCGAGCGCAAGAGACATCGCCTCGGCTCGAGTACGTCCTCAAGTAGATCCACCGAGGATCTGTGCGGGATAACAAGCGACACGAGCGCTGATGGAATGCGGAACTGCGGCAGCGCCGTGGCTGGCGTCAGCGAGGACGAAAGCTGCGTCTTGCTTGGGGTGCGATCACTCGAGGACGCGCCCCAAATCGGCCTCGTGCCGCGCCAGGACGACAGGTGCACCAGGAGAGACCGCGAGCGCGCGAGGATTCTGAGACGTAGAAGGATCAATGGCAGATCAGCCTCAGTTCCCAGATTGAACGTGAGTTTTGATGAGAGAATCTTTGGAAAAAAATTCGTTTGATTTTTTACAAAAGGATAAGTTAAAAAAATTTTATCTATTATCGATCTACCAATGACAAAAATCGACGATACCTGCGCAATAATAAACATCTTTTCACAGATCTTATGTTTGGTTATTAATATTTTAAATAAATTCTAACAGTTTAAAAGAAAAAAGTTAAAAAAGGATCTAAGGTTCAAGCATCTAATGGGATAAAAATCTCGGCATCTTCCGTCATATCGACAAGTTACTAAGTATTTTTCCGCGATCTTACGTAGCAGGTAGCAATTATTGGCGGGATTGCAAATTCGAATCGATTGAAACTCGTTTGACCAGACAGCTTGCGTGATTTATAATAATCCGCATAGATAGTAGCTCGTTGGTTTTGGATAAAAAGAAATAGCGGCACATAGTTTATGGGATGAACGTACGGCGAGAGAGCCGATTTGGTCGGGTGATAAATATCGTCGCAGATGTGCGCACGTTTCGCGATTCCGGCTCTTGCGGCTGAGTCTCACGACGAGTATTGGCTCGTTTAAAGCCAGCCGCGCTGTTTTTCGCTGTTCGAAACGCGAAACTGTCTCACCGCACGCTTCAAATTTTCTTCTTGAATGAACGCGTTTGTACAGGTGCGTACAAAATAAATCGCGTGGAACGCGGCGACGCATCGCTTTCTACGGTAAAACCCGCGACCCGCATTCTCTTCTCGCACAAGTCGCTCGCGATTTGCGTTCCTCTTTACAATTCACCTACACATACATACACACACACACACACACACACGTTGATGCGGTATTTAGATGCCAGTCGATCTCGTCAGTTGCGCAAAGCTACTTCGAATATTTGCGTTGGCGAGTGCCTCGACCCGAGTGCGAGAAACTTACCTGGCGCGACTGACTGACGCGCGAATATATTCGCCTGACGTAAACGCCAGCGACTTGCTTCAGAATGTGCACTTGATCTCGCGGCGCAGGGGAACGATGTTACGAAATGTGTGTGTGTGTGCGCAATCGCGGTGCATCCATTAACCTCCTCTCGCATATTTTAACCTTCTCGCGAGTCTAAAACTGCTCGTCGATCGTGAGCGATTCCTCCTCATTAATTCAACGCGCAATTATCGAACTTTGATATTAACGCATATGTTAGAAGTCTAAGTTTTAATGAGGGACGAACTATAGCGAACTCGTTTCTCATTTATCATAAACGCGTAGTACAAAGAAGATTATCGATGACTGAGTTCGTAATGCAATATCTATGTACAATTGATCACTTATCATTGTCATCGCGGATGACAATTCTACGATTATCATTAAATGAAATTTTTCGTAAATGACGTCTTATCACTACGTCAGTTTCTTCGAGCGATACGTTTGTTTGCACTTGACATATCGCGTCTCTCGCGTAACGCTTTCGCTCGACTGAACGTTATCTGAGCTTTCGCGCGTGGTCCTTGACGTTCCCGAGAAGAGCATCGGGAAAACGTCGAAGATAAGCGAGTCTTTCACGAACGGCGTTTCCACGGACTTGTGTGCGCCGGCTGCGGCGACCCGGAGCGAGAAATTCATCTGGTGCAATGACTGGCACACGTCTCGTACGCACGTGCGCGCGTCTTCGGCTTGACATAATTGTATACCTGCCTCACGCGAAGAGAGAGAGAGAGGAGGAGAGAGGTAACTTGAATTCACACGCGTGGGTGAATCCGCCGCGCCGAGACTCACGAGCTCGGAGATATGCTAAATGGCAGCTTAAACGATCGCTTAAAACGACCGACCTCAAGTCTATTATCTGCGCCGGTATGCGTCTTATCGCCGACGAGTACGCTAATAAGACCCGCGCGACTCCGTTGCATCACGAAACGACAAGGAAAGACATTAAAAGCGTATTCCGATAGCATTCGCGAGACGATCTTATGCGAGAGAAGTAATTTTTCTCGCCACCGTGCGCCACGGTATTGAAGTCGCTTATACGGCTGATAACTTGTTTCATCGCTCAGAAATTTTGCTCGGAATAACGAAACTAATTTCTTGGGAAGTTCAGCTTTGCTGCATCAAAGTTGGATTATGGTACAAATACTATCTTAATTAAAATTTGATTTTACTCTCGAGTACCGGTATCTCAAAATTTAATTATCGCGTACAATATGTTTCTGATATTTTTTTTATTTTATAAATAAGAAAAACCCTGTAATACAAACAATATTATTTATATAATTTACACTAAGTACACAAAGAAAATAGTAACCAAGAGCAAATATATTTTATTTGATAATAATATTAGATTAATGCACTTGTCTGCGTATAAAATTATCATTTTTTATTGTCGGTATAAGTTAGCGATACAAAGACACGCTTTGTTCGTTTATTGCGTTTTAATTTATTTCTTTGGTTCCAATGTATATTATTAACCATGCGATCGCGCGTGACAAACACAGGTTATCCGGTAAAATTATGACATGACGTCATAGAAAACGATGAGCTGTCTACACACAAGGCTTATACATTGTAACCGTATCTAAAAATATAAAGTTCTCTCGTTTTCAGAATCACATGTTGAATTGTACAATGTTGAACTTTCCTGTGTGTTTGATTCCGTGTGAGACGATGTTTGCTTCTCATCATTTGCGCATCGCACGTGCGAAAACGACACGTTCGCGTTTCGTATCAAACGCGCGAGTCGAAAATCATTCATGTTGACACTCGTATTATCCGCCGCACGTGCCTCTCGGCGATTCCACTTGAACAAGCGCATCTTTTCAGTACGTGTTTCAAACTGCGAATCATCTCTCGTTATTTCATATTTAACATTTTGTATATAACATTTACACATAGCTACACCAAAAATATTATTTAAGACATTAGTTTATTATTACTGAAGATATTATTTTATTATATAACGAACAAATGCCAACACGCACAATGTAGCTTCTTTCGTAGAAAACTGATAACCGCTTGAAACCCAGAAACCCACGTGACGAAATTTAGTATACCACGTAAATATTTATGTGTTTGGCCAAACGCGCGATAATCGCTGTATACGCCCGAAGAATCTCGGGTTACTAAACCAGTAAAATGATCATCAACGTGCCTCAAGCCTATCACCGTCTATTTCGGTACACGATCCCGGCGCGTCAGGGATCCTGTGAGACTTGCAAATCTGGCCGACAAAATCGCGGGGTCGCACATTCGTGGAATGTTAATGGACCAATAAAAGGTTCCTCGTGGTCGAAGAAAAATAATACTCCTAACATTTGGGAGGGTCTAACGATCTGCAGTTCGAGACTCCACTTATGGTTTTCGGTAGACGCCGTTCGCCCGATGTGTTCACGCGAGAAAAATGTTCCCAACGTTTACGATCCACTGCAACGTTGCTTTAAAAAGCAACGTTTGTTGTTTCTTGTAAATGTTTGTGGACCGCGCAAACACATCCAGCATGTTTAGGTTGTTAATATTTAAGAAAATAGAGATTTGTTTGAAAAAAAAAAACAAAGAAACACAGACAATGTCTCGGTATCATTTTATCACGATATGTTGTAATTGCGTTGATGGCGTTGATCGCGTTTTAACACGCACGCCAAAGGCTTCCTTTCGTTGCACTTCCAAGACTTCCGACCTTAATTATATGGTTTTCTTATCTTGCTTCGTCCTCGTAACCCCCAGCGTGCGAAGAAAATTAGAGCGCTTCGCAGTTTTACATCATTTTACGCCACGTGTACATTTGCGCGAATCTATCATTCATTGTTCTTTTTCTCATACGCGTTTTCTTATCAATATTAAATATAAGCATTTCGTTTCCAAGTACAGATACGAATTTCTATCTGTAGATTTGCAACTTTTGTTTTTTTTTTACTCAACAAAGACACAACATTGAATCGCGTTTCTTCTATTTTCTCGAGAAAATACGCGGAGATAAACTCTCGCTTCGACGCGTATTCACGCGTGTCGACGCGAGTGACAACGCGCGAGAGAAGTGTAATCTCACATCCGTTTCTTCGTGGGTGTATCGCGCACGCGATACGGCAAATTGCGCTCGGTTAACGTACTGCAATCTATAATGCAGAAGAGAGTCACGATATGCAACTTCGACGCTCCTCCCAAAGTGAAAATGAAGAGTGATGTAACGAGCAGCAACGGAGATGAGTTGGATTATTGCTATTCGCAATATTCCAATTGTTCGCGTCTTATTAATTCGCGCGTATTTTTTTCTCTCTCGCGCGAAAAGACGCGTCTTGCGAGAAGTAACGCGAACAAAAACAATGGATTACGTGAATCAGGTCGGAAGGATGATTGATCGGGAGAAAGCTCGCGCGCGCGCGCGCGCACACACACATTCATACACACGTACACTTATGCGCGCGGCGAGTTTCTTTCACGTTCGCTAAGTGTTACGTGCTTTATCATTTCCTTGATATTACTCTATAAATTGCCCTGCTGTTAGGCAAAGAAGTTTGTCGACACGTTTCGCGGCGCTTCTCGCAAAGGAAAAACGCGCGACTTTCCCTTACCCGTTGGAATCGAGTATGTATTTTGCGCTATTTAGCGCTCGGACGTTTTGCAAAAAACGTCTTCTTGCTGCGCAAAATAACGAGACGCGCGCAACTTTGTCATTCCTTCGCGAACAACCTATTATGTATCTGTCTTTGGAAATATTATCCGGCATCAAAGTGTTGCGCGCAAAGTGCCGTGCGACGCAAATATTTTATCGAATCATCTTGTGATTCGATTTGTTGCTTTCACGTGAATACTCAGTCAGCGAGGATATCTTATATCCCCTCGCTGCGCACTGAATAGATAAAAACAATCAAAGAAAGTTTCATATGTTGTTTCATATACGTTGGTATTTTATTCCTGACAGTTGTGTAGCAACTGTTTTCACAATCTATTTGTGTATTTTATACATTAAAATAAAATCCGTTTTCTATATAATTCATATCTACTTTCACTCTGCTCCGTGAGCATTCCCACATTTTTCATCATGGAGCT